AGGAATAGCACATCTCAGGGGTTGACACAAACGTGGGAGTGCGAAGTCAACAACACAATGCAGGATAACGGTAGTGAATCCGAACTCCGACTGCTGGAAAACCGGCTTAACTGAATCACACAACCTAGCCGCAGGTGGAAATGTTGCCTGTCTCCCTGAGGAGGGCTGGCCAGATAATGGCTCATGTATCAGGAGCCGAAACATTCTCCCACTGCCACTGGTGGCTCTGGTCAAAGTGGTGTCGCAATCGCTAACCAATCAGGCTACGTCTCTACTGATGCACTGGGAGTGGGCACCTCTGAAAATCGCATAAGCGCATCTTCCTGATGCTGCTGTCAACGTCGCAGTTGTTGCGGTCTAAACCCCGACGCTGGATAGTGAGATGCAGAATGAGATTTGGTGACAAACCTCAGACTTGACGCGCATGTCCTCGGTGCGATCTTTCTGTGGTCCCAAGGGATTGCACTGCCAAGATGGCATTACACCTCTGAGGCCGGTCCTTGGTCACTTCGGATTGTACAACTGTAGCATGAACGATGAACGGCTTGCAAAGTCCGTTACAATGAACCGCTCGGGTTGATATAGCGAGTGTGGTAATCCAAAGCATTGCACCACCCAGCCGATTCTAGTCGTCCTATCTCCTCTCTTTGTCGGGCCAAAGTTCATGGCAGCATGGGGCATCGTAGCCCAGCTCTACATTCCGTAGTAAGGCCAAATAAAATACTTGTCCACCTGGCATCAGAACCTCGAACCATGAAAATAATCAGCTTTCACTAGGACAAATGCCAGGTCAAAAACTAAGCATCAGGCAGTGCGTTCTTAAACCCCCTTGCAACGGTGATTTACCACTAAAATACCCACATAAAGTGTCCGCGATCGGAGTTTACTCGGTATAATTTTTTGCAAAGATGAATTTAAGCACGACCGACCAAGTTTAAATCTACAATGGATGTCAACGCGGCAACTTTTCACGAAAACTTGTGAATATGTGAGGACATGACAACGAACGTTAACGAGACGCTGACAAACATATTATGACAGTCAAATTGCTAATCAGGTATCATCAAGTAGCGAAAATAAGTGGCTATGGTGTTCGAAAGCACAAAAAGGAGCCTATGAATGAATGGGTGTAAACAATGAGGGCAAAAAAGATGAAAAGACGTGAGCACAGACAAGAAAATCTCAAACTGCGATAGAATTTGAGCTTACGGTCTGCCATGCCCAGAGCATTTTCGTTCATAAAACTGATCCTACGTGCATTTTTGACAACATTGGCACTTTTCAGCCGGCCATCATCCATAAATGCTGACTGGCCGTTGGCGAAGGGGGAATCCGTAGCCCATTCGGCGAGAAGCATCCCGCTCAAGGCTGAAAGACGCAACCGAAAATACGACAGCAGTGAAATTCGAAATAGAAACAGGCTTCACGGAGTTAATACAAACAAGAAAACAAGTCATTCATCTCTGGCCGCAAAAGAGGATTTTAGTTCATTATATGCATATTTCTGTGTCTTCTCTGAAGAGATCCCTGAAGATAGCGCATGGGAAGCAGAAGTAGACAGCATTTCATAAACACGTAAAAAACGGTTTCGAAATGCGGGACCAGCAAATGAAGCAGTCGGAAACTTCAGCAGAATGCCCAGCCCCGAAGCCGGGTTCAAGGACGCAGCCTCCAGAAGAACATACTATCTCTCTGCTAGAATATCCGAAAGCAATAAGTCCGAGCTAGATACCGAGTCGATCAACAGAAGTCTAAAAAACAGGGTTTGGCGCATGGTCATTAGAACAACGATGAGCGTCCGTTTACACTACCAAAAAGTGAAGGAGGTCGACTTTGCGATGCATAAGTCTGAGGAAAGCGGAAGAGTCTAAGGCAAAACTTTGGGCTGTAAAGGCATCGGAAACAGCTAGTAAACGTCCAAAGGCCTCAAACAGGCCGGGAAACAGGGCAGGAATTGTAAAATTCAAAGAACAACGGAAGCATTAAAAACTCGCCAGGAGGAAAATCAAGTATGAAATGGGAGAATGTGAGCAGTGGTTTAATGATGACGAACTGTGAAAACGAATGATCTTGTTCTTTGTAATACTAGAATTCATACCCAAGGCAATGGCATATTGAATACTGTGTTCAAGACAGGACTGTTCTGTGTGTTACCACTTTCGAACAACTAACAGTTTGAAAGATGCACACCTTCTCCGAAACATTCCAATAGCTTTGTTTGAAAACTGCTTCGAAAGCCCTTTGAACGTTTCCTGAGTAGTGAACACATCGGAATTAGTAAACGTCTACTTTCGTCATTGGCTACCTGAGCGTATTCCATTACCCATTTTAATTTTTGAAGAAATCGGCACACAAACATGATAAAAATGTTTAAAGGAAGGTTTCTTGGGTTCGGTCCTAATATTCGCCTGAATACTTTGGCTGCTGAGTCTATGCTGCAGAGTTCAGCCATCCAGAAACCCTGCATTAAAGCTCTCTCCTCTTGGCTTGCGTCGTACTAGTTTTTGAACTTGATTTGCGTTGGTACCGTGATGAGCCATCTGTTGTTCATGTTTCGAATTAGCGATATACGTCTTTCACTTAGGCACGCGCAGTCATTCATTTAGGCTCATTATCTGTGGCGCTGTAGGATGAGAGGTCAAATTTAACCGCGCACAATAAGATAGATCTGTATTAAATGAGGCGTTGCGACAGCCCGCTTATTCTGACATCAATAATAATTGGGTTTAATGCCAGTTTACAGGCATTGTCAGGGAAGCGCTAAACAAAAATCCGACCGGCAGTGAAAAAACACCCGTTAAAAAATAAAAATAATGCGGGTTATTTGTAATTTGGAGGTTTCAGGGAAAAAAACTACTGATGAAAAAATTCCGACAGTAAAGAAAAGAGGGGATTGCACTGAATCGGATATTATCAGCAACCAATTATTTTCATGAAGTTGGCGCCGATCCGAAAAAGAAGTGCCGATGAAAAGATGCCGCTGTTGGCCAATAAATATTCCCTGGTGAGATAGGCAAGGAAGATCAGAGACCAGAAACGCCATCGCTACGGTAATGTCGATCAGTGGATTCAGCACCCAAAATGAGCGGGAGATCTACTAAATGCAAAAGCAGGTAATCGTTCTCTTAAATAAAGGATAATTTTGCAAAGTTTTCACATTCCTGGGCATACGTTCTAAATATCTATTTTATTTACAGAAATGAACCGACGATAGATAACAGTATGTGTCAGAGGAAAAAAGACCTCACAGTGACTGTTACGTCAGGGTGGACAAATTGTCTGAAAGTAGTGGGCAAGTAAAAGGTACGATTATATAAAAGCTTAAATAGTCCCTTTTATAATCTACGAAACCATAAAGAATCAAGGCCAGTGAGCCGGCACCATTCTTGGTAGGACTAATGTCGGTGTTCCGGGGTTAAAACTCTCTTGGCAAAAAAAGATGTTTGACGGATTCTTTTTTCTTCTGCTCAGCAGCACACATGAGGCTAAATAAAAACGAACAGTATCCCAGGTCAGGTCGAACGTACATTTTGTAAAGTCACATTCTAATATCGCTGGTTTAAAAGTTTCGGAGGAGAAACCCGGTCGTTCTGCGTGTTTTGGAGACCATCAAGGCGCAGCGCATCGAAAGATTGAGACTCTTGGAGTATGATACACCAAAATCCTTAGTAACCCCAGGCACATTTGTGTCGTAACCGTCAAAATTTTGTTGAGGTTGGTGGTCGTTGCCCACTACCATGACTGAGCATTTATGACAAGAAAGAGAAAGACGCCATGTGCGGCACCACTGGGCGAAAGCCTGTAGATCGCTCTTTAGGAGTTAAAGCACGATGTCATGATCTGCCGGCTTATATCGATATGCAACTTTAAGATCATCGGCATACATGAAAGGCTTACCATTCTGAAATAAATCGGGCACACCATTAACTAAAAGGCAAAATAAAAGCGGGCCGAGTACACTACCCTGAATTACTCCATTCTCAACACATGTGGGGTTGGAGATAATATTGGAAATCTTAAATCGGCTGGATACCAGTGTCGCAACACTCCGATTCGCCGCGAATCGGAGGGTCGCGACACTGGTATCCAGCCACTTTGACTTTCCTTTCCAAACCATTAACTGAAACTCGATCACTCCGCTTCCGACCATCGAGGCATTGACCGGGGCAGTTCTCGAAAATATAACTATCACTCTGTGAGATGTGACTGTTGCGATTCGGCGTTTTCGTCAATCCCATAGTCCTGGAGCTGATGGAGTCCCAGTAAGCATGTTAAAAGCTTATGCAAATACGATTTTCCAATCCATCTTATGCAAGATATTAAATCTCGATCTTGAAAGTGAAGCCTACCCTGCTTTGTGGAAGGATTCATAAATTTTTCCCATCCTCAAGCGAACAACGTTGCATCAATGCCTCTTTTGGACTAAAACCAATTTTATGGGAAGGAATTGAGACTGAATTTTGACAAATATAAGCCGCATATATAAAGGTGGTTAGAGAACAACACCAGATAGTTTCAGACCAGTGAGTCTTATAGGCATCTATCGCAAACTAATGGAAAATATAATAAAAACGGAGCTGATGCGGCATCTCGAAGAAAACAACTTGCTCAGTTTGCATCAACATGCATGTGCCGAAGTACTTGACTACTGGAACTTTGACCATCTTGTCACGTTTGTTTTACTGTAGCATTTGTTTTAACGTGACGAGGACTCCGCCGCTTGTAAGCTTCGCGCCGCTTGCGTGCTCTCTGGTCAGGTCGTTGCACATTTTGAATATTAATTTTATTCACTTACTGGCCTTCCTTACCTCTCTCCGTTTATGAGGTTAGTAAGCCGTAGTTCGTTAGTTCGCGGGTACGACGTAACTTACGTCATTGGTGGTCCTAAGGGTCCCCTTGAGTTACGTGGCCACGCGCTGACTGCTTTTGAGAGAATAAAGACCTCCCTTGCTGATGCTATCTTGCTCACTCATCCTGCTCCAGAAGCCCCATTGTCCCTGATGGTTGATGCTTCGACCGTTGCCGTAGGAGCAGTCCTCCAACAGGATATCAACGACTCGACACGACCGTTGGCATTCTTCTCCAAGAAGCTTTCACCTGCCGAGACGAGATATAGCACGTTTGGCCGTGAACTTCTTGCCATTTACCTAGCCGTAAAACATTTCCGACACTTCCTTGAGGGTCGTGACTTCACAATTTTCACAGACCACAAACCACTTACATTTGCCATCCGATCCCATTCTGACAAATATAACCCGAGAGAGATTTCTCATTTGTATTACATCTCGCAATTCACCACCGACATACGCAACCTTGATGGCCCGAAGAATGCGGTGGCCGACATGCTGTCCAGACCTTCCCTCTCGGTGTTTCACCTCTCACTCGGGATTGATCTTGGTGCTATGGCGGCTGAACAACGACGTGTTGGATGTCCTGGCGACGAGTCTGTTGACAGTCTTCAATTAGTTGACGTCCCATTGACCACCGGCACTGGCACAATCCTTTGTGACGTATCGACTCCGTTTCATCGCTCTTACGTGCCTGTCTCGATGCGTCGAGCTGTTTTTCAAACTCTCCACGGACTCTCCCATCCTGGGATTCGAGCCTCACAGAAGCTCCTCGCGGACAGGTTCGTATGGCCTGGGTTGAACAAGGATGTGAAAGCTTGGACACAATCGTGCCTTTGCTGTCAACGTAACAAGGTTCAACGCCACAACAAGTTTCCATCGGGCACGTTCCCCAGCCCCGAGGCACGGTTCAATCATGTGCAGTTAGATGTCGTAGGTCCTTTACCTCCATCCAGTGGCTATACTCACCTTCTCACCTGCGTTCATCGTTATACTCGTTGGCCGGAAGCCATTCCTTTACCGAATGTGCAAGCTGAGACCATTGTAAAAGCCTTCGTCAGTCGCTGGGTCGCCATATTCGGTGCTCCATCCGTGATTACGACTGATCGAGGAGCGCAGTGTGAGTCCACACTTTTCCAAACTTTCCTCAACTTCCTTGGCTGCACACGTATTCGGACGACGGCCTACCACCCAGCTGCCAACGGCATGGTTGAGCGTTTCCGCCGCCAGGTAAAGCCGCTGGTTTTAAATTTGAAGATAAGTGGAGGATATTATTTTAAGTGGTTTTTCTGTGAGACCTAACGATTTTAGTACCTGTTTTTTGTTTGAATATCCTTAAATACAGACCTTTTCTCTAAGAACTGCCTGCTGCCATCTCCTTTCGAGTTTCGCTAGTCTATGCCCGTTGTTCACTAATCGCATTTTGCAATTCTCATTTTGTGCATCCGATTTCTCTCTAACTGTTGTAATTTATTTTTACATCGTTAGCCCCTAGCTGAAATTCAGTCAACTTGTCTGCCAGAAGTTTTCTTAATCACAAACTGCCTCGAGACAAGATGAGACCAAAAGTCACTGGTCGACGTAAGCTCTCGGCTCTTGTAAGCAAACATGGCCTAACTAAACGTAAGTCAGAAGCTTTACCTAAATCTAAGTCAGATGATGTTACTCGTCAGTCGTCACCCGTTGTAATTGGTCGGCAGCTTAATCTGTCTGCACTTGACCACTGCAATGACTTTATGCTAAAGTTTGGCTCTTTGCTGACAATTCTTGGACATTTATTCGACAGGAACATCTCCGATATTCCCTCTGAAGAATGTAGGCGTCTCGACTCACTTGTTCACTTGATCGCCAGTGAATCTAGTGATAGACAGAAGCGTTCTTACAACTTCCTGCTAAAAAATGTTCCTCGATCTGCTCGGCCAATTGATGTTGCGACCAGTTTCCTGTATTCATGTGGTTTCAACTATAAAATAGCTGATGCCAAACGCTTGTCCTCCCGTAGTACAAATCCACCCATCTTAGTCAAATTGTTTTCATCAATCGAAGTTGACACAATCTTTACTCATCGAGAGCGTGTCACTGCGTACCTAGAGAAGGCAAAATTTTTCCTTTGTCGTGATCTTACTCCAATGGAGCGTAGAATCGGGTCTCTATTCTCACGTAAACCTACTGCTTCTCAGTCTAATGCTCCCCAACTCGGTCATAATACAAGTGGCCGTAAGGATTCAGCTTCTCCTACTCCTGCGACATCTGACTGCCTCCTTCCTCTTTCTCCTACATCTCCATCTCACTCAAGCCACTTGACGCATTTGTCTGCACCTAAACTTGCAGCAACAGCAGCAGCCCCATTTGTCGTTTCGTATCCTCCGGATAGTCCCGCTGAGACACATGAAAATCCGTCTACATCAGCTAGAACGATAACTTCTATTGTCCAACTGGGTGCTGTAAGGTCTACAGCTAAGTCACCCGTGGCTTGGCGTCAGAACGGTGAGACTCGAAAATTGAATCAGACTCCGACCCAAAAGATAGGTAGTACAGTTCCGTTTATGGGTACGACGCCTTCTCTTAGATCTAACAAGTCTGTTCAGCCCAGCACGTCTACAAACCCCGCAGCTCCAATTATATCCCCGAATAATTCTCTGTCCTGCGTACCGGTTACTTATCAAAGCCCTACTATATATCCAGCAAATAATTCATACATGAATTGCCCTAAATCATTTATGCCCCAACCTAGTTCAGGCTTCCCAAAACTTAAGGCCAATTGCTCTCAGGTACGTCAACCTCTCTCCTTTGACTTCCAATCTAGACCTGGTTTCCCACTATTTCAGTCTTTTAGTGGCCTACCCTCACCCATTAGCCCCTACTTTCCTTCTAGCCTCCCTCCTCCTCCTCCCCTTCCTCCATTATTTAACTACCAACAAGTCTATCCATGTTCTAACTCCCCTAGCATTCCAATGTTTGAAAACTATATCCCCACCTCCTTTAGGTCTCATACTCAGCCTTCTCTTGCTGACTCCCCGTACGTCAATAACTCTAAATTAACTGGTACTTATTCTCCAAGTGTCATTAATTC